GTCTGTGCCTTTTTAATCTTCAATTTGATGCTTGTCAACTGATAATATCAAGATGTTTAAAGAAGACAAAGTTAAAATTATGAAACATAAAACCCAATTTCCTGTCATTGTTTCACTGAATCTTGAGTAGCCTATACCTTTATTCCACGTAAAACTCTCACCAAAGAAACTTCTTATTAACAAGTGGAAATTATGGCCTAGTAAAGCTTGGCACATTCATCCGTGCCAGGCCGTAGAACTAGCCAAAGTCAACATGTTGCTTTTCAGTTATAGTTTATGTGACAAGGAGGCACTGCAAGGAGTTTCCATTTCAGTAATCTCCACGTGGAGATAGAGAGCCTCTCTTGGTAGACGGTAATGTATGCTGAACTTGGAATTTTTATCAGGTAGATCTGCAGGATGAGTTCCACTGCTACAGGCTCACCACTCCCAATCAGTGTGGCTGGTGGTGCTGTCAACTTTATACCCTTCACATTCCTTCTGAGCACTAAAACTGCAGGGACTGAAATGATTTTCTCCTCACATCGCCCCCATTCTAAAACATTCTCTAGAGTCTCCTTACTGCCTTGACAGAGTCGACATTCTCACAATAAGGGTGGTTTTTCAGGGTCATGTGTGTGTCTCCCTGACTTCTTATTTCCCTCTAACACCAGCCTACCACCACCAGGCCCTTACCCTGCCCTCTGTGCTGAAGGCCACACTTTGGATGCTTTCAATTATTTCTTGTTCCATCTCCCTGCCATCACCTTCTCTGGGAATTTGGGGCCCTTGTTCATGCCATTAGCCTTTGTGATGCTGATGGGAATACCTTCTCTTCGACACTTTGACCAACATCTCCTTACTCCCTGAGTCTCAGCCTACATCTTTTTCCTTAAAATTTTTATTTTTACCTTTTCTGATTCTTGAAGTTCAAATTGCTAGACAACTCTCTGGAGAATTCCAACCCAAAGTCTAACCCCCAGAAATCCATCTCAAGAAAGATTAAGGAGAAGTACATCCCGAGCCCACTTTGATATTCAGTGCATGTCTCCTCAAACAAGACGTCCATTCTCTAAGTCAAGTATTGTTTTAAGTCCTGTCAAAGGAGTCAATGCTGGGTCTCTTAGTTAAATCTTAAAATGTTTTGCTAAAAAAAAAAAAAAAATCTAAGAATTGTTATTTCAAAATAAAAAGCCCCCTGTTTAAAGGGCAAAGTAAATATATTAAACATATAAAAATTAAAATCCTTCATTTTAAGGAAATCAGAGGGAACGTAATCGAGTCAAGTTGCTTGTAGAAGTTTCAATACTTAGTAATTTAAGAAAGTACTGGGTTGTTTGGGGGAAATACTTGTAGCAGACTAAATAGGCTTAGAAGTCATTCAGTATAAAACTGCACATAAAATGAAAATGGAACTTTGATGTATTTAACTGTGGATATCCAGGCAGTGTATAGTGAATACAAGCAGTACCTCAACTCCCTCACTGTCCTCTGCGCATGTAGAATCCACAGGATCTAAATGGCTGAAAGAACATTTTTTCACCTTTTTTATAACATATTACGGCAGGGGATCACCAAAATAGTACATGCTTTCTACCATATGAGAAACCAAAAGTATAAAGAGCGAAATAAAAAATTGATAATGGAAAATAAGGAGATAGATCTTTTGCAAAAGAGAAGGAGACCACGACCTGAAGGGAGGGTGTTGGAAAAGGGGAGGGAAAGTGATAAAAACAAAAGGTATGTTATGTACATGTAACACCTCACCACAATGAATGTAATCACTATGTATGGCAAACGTACTGATGAAAAATTAAAATTGAAAAAGAAATGGCAATTCAAAGGGATCAATCAAGAAAATGCAAACAGCAGGCAGAAAGGCAATCTTGTCTCAGAGAGAGTAACTTTTCATAACAAACAGGTTCCCAGGAGCAAGGGAAGCTCCAAGTCTTCTATGGATGTGCAAGGCTGAAGCCAATCTAATCAGGAAAAATGAAGACTGAGGTGTGGTACTGGAAACGCGGGGCACAGATGCCTCAGGACAAGTCCCATCGTGGAAAAGAGTACTACTCAGCTTTCCCATCGCTGGGACACAGTTCTTAACACCCACAACTTGGGGGAGCGGAAATTTAATTTGCCTGTGGTTTCAGTCCATGATGGCAGGCTCATTGCAGGAACATCACGTGGGAAGGGGTGACCAAGCAAGGCTGCCTCCTGGTGGCTGGGAGGCAGAGCAGGGGAACACTGCCTGAGAGAAAGGATTGGACTGGCTTCCCCAGAGTCAGTCATGGTGAAACTCCACCGAGACTTCTGCTGCTCAATGCGTTGCCACTGAGGCAGGGAAAACTGAAAACCGGGCACAGATGTGGGCAGAACCCGCAAGTGAACCCAGAAATGAAGATCGCTTGGCAAGTCTCAAAGAGCAAAGTGCAGGGGTGAATCTGGACTGTGAGCAGCAAACAGTAGCCCCCCCAAGGAGTAAGGATTAGGAGGTGGCATTGTGCAGCCCTCTGAGGATGTCCATTTATCTCTGTCCTCATTGCCAAGAAGTCAGAAGATCTTCTGACCCCTGTCTAACCAAGGTCCCACCACCTAGGAAGCTCTTGAAACTTTCCCAGAGCTTTCTAGTTTCAAGCACAGCAGGAAAGATGATCCAGGGAAGGGGATGAGCCCACTGAAGACCCTTCCAATGATTCCAGGACCAGAAGAGTTCCAGCCGATTCTGTACCACAGCAAACTCATGCTTTGGGCAACCCTGGGTTTCTGAGAAATCCAAGCAGTAAGTCTCTCTTACTCCCAATTTCACTGTGTTTGACTTCAATTACAATGATGACAGGCTTGTCATTCTATGTCTGTATTTACACACAAGGAAACCCAAGGGATGTGGGTGGAGATACCACCCTTAAAACTTGGCAATACGTCCTCATTCTGCTACTTCTCTGGGAAAAGAGGGAAAGCAAGAAAAGCACAGAAGAAAATTCTGCCTAGTGGGTTAGATTCCTGTAAAGGTGACTTGAACTGTCCAAAATGAACAAACATGCCAATTCCATTACAAGCCTCTTGTGTAAAATCCACACCTATTGGAACCATACTAACCATGCAGATTTTCTTTAAAGACTTACTTTAAAATAGGAAGAATCCTAAAAAGGATTTTTAGATAACTGTCTATGTGTCACTTGAAAAGCCACTTATGAAAAGTTAAAAAAAAAAAAAAAAAAAAGTTACTTTTAAAAGAAGCAAGGAGCAGTGTGGGCTGTCTAAATATGAAAAGAACACGGATACTCATGTTCTTTGAACAACAACAAAATCTCATCAGGCAATGTCTTCTCAAACCAAGTGACACCTGAAGAGTGAAAAGGGACACTTAGCACCAGCTGGTAACAGTGGTCCAGTCAACTTTGGTGACAAGCGGGGGTGAAGACTGTCGCAGTCAGATTAGATCAGCAGAGGAGCTCTCACACTCATTTACAAGTAACCAGTGCCTGAGGTCTTGAGACACCATCTTTCCACAGGCACACGGAGAGCTGCCAACAGAGCCATGCAGCCACGTTCCAGAATGTATCTGCTCATTCGCTGACGCCCTGTTGTTCCTGTTTCTGTGGTACCCTGCCGCCCACCCACATCAGCCCCCTGCATCTTAGCAAAGCCCTCCCATCAAGTTCACGCTCACCAAGTTATGTAACATCTGAGTGGTCTTCCATCTACTGATTCCTCCTCCTGTAATTTGAAATGTGTTCAACACTCTAATCTCTCGAAGGTTACCAGGAGATTCTAGGAGCCCCTTTCCTTCTTCTGCTTGTCGGCTATCGATCAAGTCAATGACACTGACTTGTCAGAATAATTAGGGTATGACCAATATTTACATCACAGTGGTGCCCTGGCTCCAGAACTTGGTTCTTCCCATGATTCGGGCCACAAATCGAATTGGTTGAGAACCAAATCAAATTTAATAGTTAGGTTCAATATCGACCTTGTGGGGAAATTTGACTCCGTTCTCTTCCAATTCAGTCTGTGACCAGCATGGTAGAAAGGACTAAGTTCACGTACAGAGGTACTAGTCTCTTTAAAAATAAGTACAGAGTATGGAGAAACTATGCCCTCAAGACTTCTAATAACTCATTCACGAGCTGCACACACTGTACACATGGGGATGAATCAAGGGCTAGAGCATGGGTGAAGGAAGGCATTTAATCATTCTCCTTCAGAAATCCAACTTAATTTTCAAAATGCACCTTCAAAATATCCTGCTTAAAGCAACATTTTCAGCATGGAGTTTCTCCGAACGTGATTTTGGTTTTGCATGTAACAGATACTTTCTCAAATTAGCTGTTCTTTGTAGATCATAATTATTAAGAACTGTAAATAGGACAACCCTCCTCTAACCAGGGGCGAACTCAGGACCTCAGACTCAAGTCTCCTCTCATTCCTGTCCTCCTTCAGCTGTATCCTGCTGAATAAATTACACATTAGGGAAAACCCTGCTGACACCTCCGCAGGTAAGGTTCCCACCATCTCAGGAGCACAAATTTGGTGGCTGCCCGCACAGTTTCACATGTGTTAAACCACAAAGGGCAATTCGTACGGTGGGAGTAGAATGGAAATATTCTGAAATTAAATGATGCTTACATTTTAATTCTATGGATATATCATTTAAAATATTTGAAAACCAAAACCCAGATGGCATTGTATATGGATGCAAAACCCCAGGTTAATACTTTAAAACAATTTTAATAATACGTTCTATGAAGGAATGCAGTACAGCATGAGAATTACACGGAGCAAAAGACAAAAATGAGTAGGTTACAGATTCCCACTCACCAACCATACAACCCATATTGCAATTTTTGCAAGTATTATGGAAAAAACAAGAGAAATACAATGTTTACTACTTCTCTGGGAAAAGAAAGAAAATGAGTAAAATATTCACATTTAAATGTTCAAATTCCCTCATTGATTGAAGGCCCAGGCTCACATTGACAGCAAAGAGGAGAGGTTTTCCCCTTAATGATCTAAGTAATTACCTTCAATGTCTGCTTTACTTTGGCTGTGGAGACATAGTCACAACTATGAAGACCCTACTGAAACAAGAAGATAGGAAGTTGACAAAGTGCTCTCGGTCTCCATTGCAGAAAAGTACAGGAGCATCACCTAAAAATGCAAACTGCGACCTTTTGTGATCAGATTAAAGAAAACGCTTTTCTTTATAGTTACACTGAGAACAACTATTTCCTTTTCATTTTCTAAATTAAGGGAAGCTTTTCGCATAGTAACCCACATTAAATAAGTGACACATAATCAGAGAATGATGGACTATGTTGGCTGTCGGCATTTTGGAAACACAAACATTAGAATTTGCACTTTTCTGGGGTCCTTTGGTCTCCTGTTTCAAAACAAAAACAAATCAGGAAATAAGCTTGCCTGGAAAGTAGACATCCAGCCTGGATCTCAGGTCCACAAGAGAAAACATACACCAGAGTCCAGACACCGTCTAACAAAATCTCGAGAAAATTATTAAGCAACTGTACTCTTCATTTGCAGTGTGCAAATGCCTGCTGTTAGGGGATATCCTGCCATGTTGTTCCTGTTTCAGTGGTACCCTGCCGCTCACCCACGTCAGCCCCCTGCATCTCAGCAAAGCCCTCCCATCATGTTCACGCTCACCAAGTTATGTAACGTCTGAGTCCTCTTCCATTCTACTGATTCTTCCCCTCATAATTTGAAAGGTGTTCAACACTCTAATCTCTCAGTGGTTACAAGGAGAACCTACTTTATATAAATGGCTTTCAACAGGAAGGAAAAGACATTTCCCGGGTTCACTAAGCCTCAGGGGTAGTAGCAAAGCCGTCTTCGGGGAAAATGTGCTTCCTTTCCCGTCAGACATTATCATGGCTGTAATTGTATTGGTTTGCCTGGACTTCTTTGGGCTGCTTGTTTGGCAGAGCTACCTTCCCTGTGCCTGCTAGGAGGCATCATCTTCACCTTTCCTTCAGTTTATATAGGTAAATGTGTATAGTTACATACAACAGGTCATGGGTACAAGGCAGGAAGGAGGAGCCTATTCCTATCTTTGGTGCCAAGGTGTTGCTTGAAATTCGTGTTCTTCTGCAGGATCTGCAGGATTTGTTGTTGTTGTTTTGTTGTTGTTGTTGTTGTTACAAGATGTTGAGGACACGTGAGATAAATGAGACCTCCACAGTTGCGGATAGCCAGTGCTTGCTCTGCTCCTGTGAATTTACCTCCCTGCTCCTACCAGTTCCTCTAGTTAACTGCTAGAGGAGATGGCAGCCTGTTGGTGAAGTGGTGGGGATTTAAAGCTGTTCTGGGAGCTCTGTGGGAGCGGAGTTTTGTGTTGTGTACACTGTGGTCCAAAGTGCTTTCTTGTGCAAGGCTGAAGGCCCCCTTAGCCTAGTCCCACTGGGTAGGCAGACGATGTGACATTAAGAAGACCTCATGACTGGGCATGTAGCTGGTTCTGCCACCTGCGTCGCAAGCGCAAGGTCCCGAGTTTGATCCCCGGTCAAAAAAAAAAAAAAAAAAAAAAAAAAAAAAAAGAAACAAAGAAAGACAGAAAGAGACTCTATCACATGAGTTTCTGTAATTTTTCTCATAACCCAGGACTTCAAAGGACTACAACGAACACAACAATGACAAAGTAGCCCTGAACTGTGTGACGTGATCATGACCAACACGTCAGTACATGGTGACCAATGAAATTCTACCGTGTGCGTGCGGGGTGCTGGGGTGAGTGTGGGGTGTGCAGCTCCAGACTGAGATTCTTGGAGCTCTTCTGCTGGCTGCAAAGTCACGGAATAGATTTTAGTTACGTGTGCCCTTTGTGTGCCTCTGAATGAGACACCGGAGAGGCCAGCCGGCTTTCTCTGTACTCCATTTTCCATGAGCTTGCACACCGGGCCAAACATGACAAGCGGCAATGCTCAGAATGGAACTCAAGACATCATGAGCCGGGTGTCTGTTTTCGGGAAAGGAAACAAATCTCAATTACTTGGGGCAATTAAGGGGAAGGTAATAAGGGAAAAGAAAAAAATATGAGAAAATGAAAAAAATGGAAATGAAGTGTTTGTAAAGGGGGAGGGGAGGAGGGAAGGGAGGGCAGGGACAAGGGGAAAAAATGAGAACCAAGACCTGCCATGTAGAGGTACAAGAGCCCAGTGATGAATGTAACTGTGCTGTATACCTAAAATGTACCGATAAACTAAAAAAAAGAAGAAGAAACACAACAAAGAGTAGCGAGGAATCCATTTACATAAGTATGTTTCAAATAGTGATAATTTTTCACTGAGTTTCTATTCACCTGAAACTCATTTATAGCACAAACGAGAGAGCAAGGATTCTGAGACCGAGAAGTGGCACTTTCTCATAATTGTCACGGGCGTTGGGAGGACAAGGACTGAGTGTGGTGGGAAAGGACTAGATGCTGGGGTGGGACGGAGGTGGTGACATCTAAGAACCCTGTGTAGGGGACAGGGGAGTCCGAGCAACTATTCCTTGCTAGTATTCTTTCAGTGGAAGGTAAAGCGCTACTTAATAATTTGCTGGGGTTTTATTTTGTTTTGTTTTATTTCACTGAGTGACATATCCTCAGGTCAAAATTTAATCCCAGTTCTTGCAAAAGCTAGACAAAACTGTCCTTGAGATCTCAGTATGCTTTTAACAGGACGGCAGAGGGTGTTATACAACAGTGCACAAGCAAGCTTTAAATTAATACTAACGCAGTATTCCTTACTAGTAAGGTTGCAAGAGTGTCAATTAGCAGAATGAATACTAGCGAGTTTGGCTCACACCACTCCTCGGAAGGGCCAGGGCAGCCCGGACAGTTTGATGAAGGAGCCACTGTGGGTCCAGGAGCAAGAGTACGTATTTTAAGTGTGAAGCTGAAATTCAAAATTTCATGTGTTAGAGGGAAGGACAAGGCAAGGACTAAAATAACCATATCATATAGTAATTTAAGTTGCTAACTTTATTAAAAAAAGTAGCACCAAGTCACAGAGTTCTAATTTACTGCTGTCAATGTTAAAATGGCAGCATTCCTACCACATAGCTGGACTACGCTTACTACAAACTCACAACGATCACACTGGCAAAATATATTTCTTAACGAATCTGACTGCATCCTGTTTATGCAACTTGAGCCCACAGGGGAACTATATCCAATTTATAATGACAGATATTTCACAGGTTTAGTCTTTGGCTGCTAGAAAACTCATGAATAATTCAGGAATGCAACATATTAGGTATAGTTGTTTCATTTCTTTTCCCCTTGCAAAAAAAATGTGCACGTTCGTATTGGTGTAGAAATAAACACACAAATTCTTATTGAGAAGACTGTGAAAGAAAGAAAGATCATATAAGCTTTGTAATTTCACATTACAATTTAACATCTATTTTTGTAATTTCAGACAAATGATCTGTAAATTATAAAGCACAGTGAACAACTAAATACTTTGATCTCTGCTAAGTTTAACAAAAACTCCAAAGGAAAATTTTACTGTGTGAAATTTAAAACCGGAAATTCGGATTTAAAAATTTTATAGTGTAATTGGATAAGCCACTTACTAGCTAGATTTACTCAGGAAAATTACTGAATTTGTATTAGATGACTTTTCTTCCTCCAGAAGCTGTAAAAATCAATAAGCGCATGGGCTTTTTTTTTCAAAGGGTGCTGATGAACCTAAAATGAGACAGCGGACACAGGAATATCCTTTATAATCCATATAATAGTAAGATATCTTGACTGTTTTCAGCAGCAAGGTTAAAAACAGTTGAGCAAATTGTTTTTGTTTTAAATTATTAGACACTTAACTTTAAGGAACTTGATTTCAAAACCATTAGTTGATAGGCCAAATTTTTCTCAGTTTGCATTTTGTCACAAGTTTAATTTAGGCTCTTTGAAGAAAACCATAAAAATGTGCAAAAGGCAACTTTACCTCCCCACTTCAGAAAGTTTGTCCATAGGTGATTAAATAAAGACTTCATCTTTTTTGTTTGTTTGTTTCCGGGGATTAAACTTGGGTCCTTGCACTTGTAAGGCAGGCCACCGAACCGCTGAGCTAAATTCCCGGCCCTAGAAGATTTCATCTTAACAGAGCAAAATCCAGATATAAATCACAATTTGTATTGGAGAACATTGCTCAGTATTTTTCATTCTTAGGACAGAGTTTTGCTTCTGGGACTTCTGAAGTCTAGTCAATATACTGAAAAGAAACTCAGTAAATTTCTTAAGTACATGAAGACCATGGTTGTTTTGGGTTTTGATTTATTTTCCTTGTTGTTTTGTAAGGCTCTGTTTCCTAGTTTTTCCCATTCTGATTCTCTGACAGGTGTTTGCTGTTAAATTTCATGTTTTGCCACAGTGTACAGGAGCTACCATCCCCTGAAGGTTAATTACTAAGAGATGTCAAAAGATAGAGGAGTAATACGCATAAAATAATATAGAATGGATGATGTTAAAATGGGAATAGTACTAGCACCTACTGTGAGAGTTGTGAAGGATACAATAGAAGAAACCAAGAAAAGCTCCTAAGTAAGCATCCACTACAAAGAAATACTTCAGTGAGTGTTGGATAATACCTACGTAAAGGGATGTGCGTGTGCGAGAACATACAGAAAAGCAGGACTTTTTAATCATAAAATCCTGATTAGAGAGTTAAGTATTAGGCACAGAAAAATCTTCTTGATATCTAGTTTAAGTCCATTAAAATGCCAACTCACTGGACTAATTCAAGCGTAACCCATGTTCACTCCACACATCCTTACATATGTGCACACCCACATATAGACTGATATATATATACAATGTACAATTACATGAATTTACAAATATAATCTGTCTTAATTTCAGGGAGGAAGAGTTTGGGAATTCCCATCATAGGAACCATGCATTTTCTCAGTAAAGTCATTTGTTTTTCCAATGCTTTTCAGTGTTTACATTTAAGTACTTTTGATCTATGTCCACTAGGGGAAAAGGACCGTTCACTGTAGATGTAGCCTTGGAGCAAAGGAAAATTATTTGAGATGAAGAAGAGTCACATGGTATGGTGAGTGTTGCTAATTGAGT